CACGCCCTCTCCTCCCTCCATCCTCATCTCTCCTCTTTTCTCCGTCCCCCTCCAGAACCAAACCAGCCTCCTGGACGCTCGGCCACGGGACACCCCAGGACCCAGAATTCCGAAGTCCCCGGGACCCTCCAGGAACCAGCCCCGAGAACCTCTTCCTCCTCATCCTCCTCCTCCTCCTCCTCCTCCTCCTCCTCCTCTTCCTCGTCCTCCTCCTCCTCCGCCTCCTCTTTTTCCCTACCTAGGCTCTGCCTAGAAGGGTTCTTACTCTCTTAGCTTAAAGGGGCCGGGCAGTGCAATACGCTCCGGGCGGTTCCCCCAGTCCCCTGGGAGCGGTTCCCCCCAGTCCCCTGGGAGCTTTAGCTTTAGCTTTAGCTTTAGCTTAGCTTTAGCTCAGCTTTAGCTTGGCTGTAGCTTAGCTTTAGCTTAGCGTTTCGCTTAGCTTTTCGCTTAGCGTTTAGCTTAGCTTTAGCTTAGCTTGAGCTTAGCTTGAGCTTAGCTGTAGCTTAGCTTTAGCTTAGCTTTAGCTTAGCTTGAGCTTAGGTTTAGCTTAGATTTAGCTTAGCTTTAGCTTAGCTGTAGCTTAGCTGTAGCTTAGCTGTTGCTCAGCTTTAGCTTAGCTTTAGCTTAGATTTAGCTTAGCTTTAGCTTAGATTTAGCTTAGCTTTAGCTTAGCTTTAGCTTAGCTTTAGCTTAGATTTAGCTTAGCTTTAGCTTAGCTGTGGCTTAGCTTTAGCTTAGGTTTAGCTTAGCTTTAGCTTAGCTTTAGCTTAGCTTTAGCTTAGCTTTAGCTTAGCGTTACTGTTACTACTAATGCTGCTTTCCTAGGGGTACCAACTCCTAGGTAGGGTCGCACTGGGATAATTTTGTTTCTTCGGCAGGACACTGGGCGCGCACAGCCGAAGCGTCAGCATCCTCCTCCTCCTCCTTCTCCTCCTCCTCCTTCTCCTCCCCCTCCTGCTCCTGCTCCTCCTCCTCCTGTTCCACCGCCTCCTCCTCCTCCTCCTCCTCCTCCGCCTCCTCCTCCTCCTCCTCCTCCTCTTCCTCCTCCTCCTCCTCCTCTTCCTCCTCCTCCCCCCCTCCTCCTCTTCCTCCTCCTCTTCCCTCCTCCTGATCCTCCCTCCTCCTCCTCCTCATCCTCATCCTCCTCCAGCCCTCCTCCTCCTCCTCATCATCATCCTCCTCCTCCTTCTTCTCCTCTTCCCCCCCCTCCTGCTCCCTGACGTCCTCCGCCTCCTGTTCCTCAACGCCCTTTTCCTGCTCCGTCTGCAGGGTCGGCGGCACCGGCCGCAAGGCCTTCGCAATCGTTCACTCTTGAACGATCCCCGCTTTCAGAAGCCTCGAGGAACTGTCGACCTGTCGCCGTCGCCGTCGCCGCCGCCGCCGTCGTCAGCGTCGTCTTCGCTCTCAGAGGCCCCGAGAGGCCGCCGACCCGACAACCCGCATAAGCTTCGCGCGCGCGCCGTGGACTGCTCTCTGCGGGCTCCGTGGGGCCAGAATCGCGCACCTGGAGGGCGTGCAGCCTTCCATCGGCGGCGAACCCAAGGGGGAAGTAAAGGGGAGGAGGAGGAGGAGGAGGAAGAGGAGGAGGAGGAGGAGGAGGACGAGGAGGAGGAGGCGGAGGAGGAGGAGAAGGAGGAGGAGGAGGAGGACGACGACGACGACGAGGACGAGGAGGGCGAGGAGGGCGAGGAGGGCGAGGAGGAGGAGGGAGGAAGAGGAGGAGGAGGAGGAGGAGGAGGAGGAGGAGGAGGAGGAGGAGGAGGAAGGGCGAACAGGACGCCAAGGGAGGGCGAGGATAATGACGAAACGCGACAAGGACGAGCGAAGAGTGAAGAGGACGTGGAGGCTGCGCTCCTGCCCCTTCCGCTCCCGCTCCCCACGCAAATGCCTCTGGCACTGCTGCTCGAAGCTGCGGGGTGGGGATTCATCCATAGCCACCGCCTGGGAACCGGCGCCCTGCTGCCCCCGTGGGCGGTGAATATGGATATGGATATGGATATGGATATGGATATGCGTATATGTGTATACGTGTATGTGTGCATTTGTGTATATGTTTTTATACGTCGACCTCTGGGATGGTGCAAACGCCCGATAGAGGCAGCTGTCCTACAAAATGAAAAAACCGTGATTAGGCCACTCGAAAAGATCCCGTCGCACGTGAAGCGGGTTCCCGTATCTCACAAAGCGCAGGCGCGGTCAGGAGCTCTAGCGGCGAGCAGGGCTGGCAGCGCGGGGTGGGGGGAGGCAGAGGTTCACAATCCTAGACACGCAGCGGCTTCCTCATCAGCGCTGAAATCGGGCTGGCCCACGGAACTCTGTGATTCACCCTCGCGAGTATCGAAGCCGGAAATCAACGCACGCCGCGGTTTGCTACTCCGCTGGGAGCACGGTTCGCAATGAGCGCTGGCCGTGGCATGCATATCAAAGCCGGAAATCAACGCTCACCGTGGGCTGCCACCCCTGCATCTCGCAAGGCGCAGGCGCGGTCAGGAGCTCTAGCGGCGAGCAGGGCTGGCAGCGCGGGGTGAGGAGAGGCGGAGAATCATAACCCTAGACATGCAGCGGTTTCCCCTATCAGCGCTGAACTCGGGCTGGCCTACGGGATTCTGTGATTCACCCTCGCGATCACGTGGCGAGTCCAAGGGGGCCTCATCCGAGCTTGTGGGCTGTGTGGGGCGGCTTGCAACGTGCACTACTACTGGCATGCGAGACTGGGGAGACGCCCGAGGCGGCGAACCCGAGCGAACGAAAAGGACAGGGAGAGAGAGGTCGCGGGCCGCGGGCCGCGTGTCTGGGGCAGCAACGGCGGCGTCAGATCGTGATCTTCGGGGCCGTCTACACCGCCCGCGCCTCCAGCCACGTCGAGAGCTCCTCCTCTATTATATGTGTATATGTGTATGTGTATATGTCTGTGGATGTCACGACAATGGACACCCTAACAGTCCTATCGTTGAAATTAAAATGTGTTTTTAATATCGGAACATGTTCTAAACATGTTTAAAACATGTGTTTACATGTTCAAAACCTGTTGAACAAATGTTCTAGACATCTGGAAGTGATTTGTCAACATGGTTCCTCTCCATTGATCGTCCCCCCACAAGTATGAGTGCATATGTATCTACATTATACAAATATGTTTGGCCCCCGGGGACCCTAAAATATCAATATCCACCGCTCGCGGAGATCCGCGAAGAGTGATCCCCCCAGGCGGTTCTGGATAAACCCCCGCCTCGGAGAGGCGGCAACTTTCGGGATCCACCAACAAGGGGGGATGACCCTGAGGGGGGGTATGAATTCGATCCGCTGGTGCACCGAGCCGCCGCAGACAGAGGCCACCCGCACATCACGCCCCGCCCATCGGCAACTGTCGGGCGCCGCCGGCGGCTGGGAGGCATCTGTTTTTGGTGGCTCGGCGCAAACACCGATCGAACTCACCCTCGACCCCAGGGCACACGCACCCCTTGCGCGGGATCCCGAAACTGCAATCGGGATCGGGCGAAAGGGGGGGATAGCAAAAGGGGGGTTTGAGAATCAGCCCACGTGGCTGCTTTTCCCGGCGCCTCCCGGCGCCGGGAGGCGCCCGTGTATCGAGGAATGGGCCCCTCGGTGGGGCCGAAACCAGCTGCATGCAGCAGATTTTGTATACCCCCCCTTTCCCTATCCCCCCCTTTCGTCCGGCCCGAAAGAGGGCCCCAAGAGAGGGGCCCCGAGAGGGGCCGCGGCGCGGAGGAGGAGGAGGAGGAGGAGGAGGAGGAGGAGGAGGAGGAGGAGGAGGAGGAGGAGGAGGAGGAGGAGGAGGAGGGCTTCGAGGAGGAGGAGGAGGAGGAGGAGGAGGAGGAGGAGGGGGAGGAGGGGGAGGAGGAGGGAGGAGGAGGAGGAGGAGGAGGAGGAGGAGGAGGAGGAGGAGGAGGAGGCCCGATGCATGCTGGCGGCCAGGGGTGCCGCCAGGGCCAGCAGCGCCCGCCCGCCGGCGCTCCGCCGGAGGGCGCTGGCGAGCACGGCCTCGCGGGGCTCGGCCCAAACAGCGCCTGCCGCCTTCGCCTCGGCGGCGGGGCGCGTCGGGGCCTCCTCGGCAGGGCGGCGGGGCTTTTCCCAGAAGCCCTCGCACCTTCGGACTGCCTCCCAAGCCATCCCCAACCGGACTCGAATCCCTCCTCCTCCTCCTCTCCTCCTCCTCCTCCGCCTCCTCCTCCTCCTCCTCCTCCTCCTCCTCCTCCTCCTCCTGCTTTAGACATCCTCTCCGAAGGCCAGAGGCCTTCCGAGCCTCCCGAGAAGCCCCGCACACTCAGACGCCCCCCCCCCGCCCTGGACTCGCCGCCGACTCGTGGCGTCGCCGCCAGGTCGGGGAGAAGCGGCGCAAGCCTGCCGTGGGCTCCGGTCGGAACACAGCCCGCACGGAGGGGAAGACAACGGAAGGGGAACTGGGAAACACAGATCAGTAGACACAAATCACCAGATGCCCCACATTTTCCCATATTTTCTGGGTTTCTGTCTCTCCCCCCCCCCACTTCCCATATGTTCCATCTTTTCTGGGGAATCGAAGATTGTTTGTCTGTTTTTGTTCCCCTCCTGAACAACGAAGACCATGACCAAAGACTGAACGAGAGGTGTCGATCCTGGCCTAGAGGAACAACAGCCCGCAGAAGCAGAAACTCTTGAAGGTCCGCGCGGATCTCTTGGATCTGCGCTGTGACGAAGACCATGACCAAAGACTGAACGAGAAAACGTTGGTGCCGATCCTGATCCAGAGGAACAACAACCCGCATGAACAGAAACTCTTGAAGGTCCGCGCGGATCACTTGGATCTGTGCTCCACCCCCCTCCCTGGCGCGCAGAGCGCGCCAGGGGCGGCGCCGGAGGCGCTGCCAGGGGGTTCCAGCGCAGATCCAAGAAATCCGCGAGGAGCGTCGAAAATGTATGCGTCTGTTGTTTTTCTTCTTCGATGGTCATCGTCCATCTTGGTCATCGCCGCCTGTTGGAACGTTCTTGCGAAACGGAGACGGTTGGTATGGACCATGATCAGTACACGTCGGTCGGAAGAAGTGGGTAACTACATGAAGCAGGAGGGCGGAGAAAGAAGGTTGCGTCAGGCCCTCCCAGAGAATCACAGAACACAGCACAAGCAGATCCGTTCTTGAAGCAGGAGGGCGCACGAAGCAGATTTGGGCTTGGGAACCCAAGAATACCCGACGAGCATCGGCGTCGACAGGATCCCGCGACACTCGGCACAGGCTCATCCTGTGGTGCCCCTCGGCTCCAGGCAGCGAGCGAGCGAGCGAGGCTCGCCGCCGGGCCCGCCGCCGCGGCCCGGCCGGGGAGCCAGCTCATGCCCTGGCGGTTGCACCAGTTCGTCGCGTGGTCGAGCCACTTCACGTTCCTCCCCCGCGGCGGACACCCTCCACGCTCCCTCTCCGCCCTCCCTCCCTCTCCTCCCTCCCTCTCCGCCCTCCCTCTCCACACTCCCTCTTCCTCGTCGCCGTCCTCCCCCCCTCCCACCCTCCCGCTCCTCATCCTGCTTAGCCCTCCCTCCCGCCCGCCCGCCTTCCTCCATCCCTCTTCCTTATGAGCAACTCCTCCCTGTCGCACCCGCAGACATGTCTGAGGGGCGGGCGGGGCGTTTCGCCTGAAATTTCCTCACTGCTTATGATCCTGAAGCTCGGAATTTGCAGCTGTTTCACGGATGGAGGGCGGGTCGTTTTCAAAATGTGATTCTCGCTATAGTGCCGTGCACATTCGTCTTCAAGGTTTGCAGCAGCTTCAAGACTGGAGGGCGGTCGGTTTTCAAAATGAAATTCTCGCCCTAGCGCCGCGCACATTCGTCTTAAAAAAACTGCAACTGTTTCGAGGATGGGGAGCGCCTCGTTTTCAACATGTGGTTCTCGCCCTTGCGCCGCGTGCATTCGTCTTCAAAGTTTGCGACAGCGTCAAGGATGGAGGGCGGTCGGTTTTCAAAATGTGGTTCTCGCCCTAGCGCCGTGCGCATTTGTCTGAAAAGCTTGCGACGGTTTCAAGGATCCGTATGGTTTTGAAGTCCCAGGGCTTGTGTTCTGGCACGATTTACGAATGTCAGGACGTGACAGTCATGTTGATTCGCGATGTTGAAGTCCTGGGAACGATGTTCGGGCACGATTTAGGATTGTGGGGACGCAGCAATCAAAGTTGATCCGCGGCGTTGAAGTCACATGAACGGTTGTTGGCACAATTGAGGATTATCAGACGGCTGTTTTCTGATGGGCCACTTCCCGCAACGAAAATATCGTGCTGTAGGGACCTGTGCAGAGGCAACTTGGAGGAAGGGTTTACTGCAACATTGTTGATGCATCTTGGGTTTGCAGTGGTCCTCCTTCTCCTCCTAGTCGCCCTCCCTCGCCGTCTCCTCTTCCTCTTCCCTCTCCTCTTCCTTACACACCATCCTGCTTTACCACCTTTCATCCCGCTGGCCATCGCTCGGACGTCCATTTCCTGTGTTTGTTTCGGTTTCGTGCGTGTTTTTTTCGCCAAATGGTCGAGGATGCTCCCCGAAGGTCCTCGCCGAAGGAAAACTGCACACGTCCGAGCGATGCCAGGACAGTGGTCCTCCTTCTCCTCCCAGTCGTCCTCCCTCGCCGTCTCCTCTTCCTCTTCCTTCCCCTTGCCCACCATCCTCCTTTCCTACCTTTCATCCCGTTTTTTTTTTTTTTTTTTTTTTTTTTTTTTTTTTTTTTTTTTTTTTTTTTTTTTTTTTTTTTTATATATATATATATATTAACACCTTTCATCCCGTGGAGAGACAGCTGCACTCTACGCGCACGTAGCTCTTCGGGCCCAACATCATCGGCCACGCCCCGGCGCAGTACTTTTTTCCATCCAGGTCACCCAGACTCCGCGCCCCCGCGCCGCGCCCCCCTAGAGAGAAGGACTGCCACTGCGGCCCGGGCTGCGAAGCGCGATTGTCTGCGCGCCCGCGCGAATGACTTGACCCATCACCACAGTCGAGGCGTTGACCCAAGGAACCCTGAATAAGGAACGAGGCCCCTTTTTGTTCATAGGTGAACCCTCGACTTCCCATCGAGAACTTCAGGAACACCTTAGGCGAGGTGTGGAACAATTAAGGAGCACCGAGCCCCTCCCCAACGAACAGGGTTCCTTCTTCAGCGCCCCGACTGTAACCACAACCCAACATGACTCGGGAACAACGGTGCGCTGGCACAAAACACCACCGGAATCACGCGAAGGCCAACCTGCACCAGGCGAACCAACGTGCGAAACCTTGGCCCGTGCAATGAAACCAAAGCGTGCGTTCGCCGCTGGCAAAGGTGTACGATTGTCCCGTGAACCTGGCCGAAATGCAAGCCCTGGGTTCTACTCCTCAGGATCGCAGTTCAAATGAGGCCCCTGAGTTGAGAAACGGGTCGGCGTAGTGTAGAGCCCTCGAAGCTCACCACGCAAACAGGCACACCACGGACAGCGTCTAGGGAGGGGGAGGAGGAGAAGGAGGAGGAGGAGGAGGAACAACGGGCGGAGGAGGAGGAGGAGGAACAGGAGAAGGAGGAGGAGGAGGAGGAGGAGGAGGAACAGGAGAAGGAGGAGGAGGAGGAGAAGGAACAGGAGGAGAAACATGAGGAGGAGGAGGCGGAGGAGGAGGAAGAGGAGGAACAGGAGGATAAGAAGGCGGAGGAGGGAACGGGCGAGTGGGTCGTGGACGTAGAAGCGCGTGACAATGTTGCTGCCTGCTCCGACGCGCGCCTTTTTCCCCCCATTTCTGGAGCCCGCCTTTCACAAGCAGGCGTCTGTGTGTCTGTCGCCACGTCCCCCTTTCCAGGACGAAGGGGAGGAGGCCAGAGGGGAAAGCGGGGATTGGAATGTGAGGGGGAGGGCGCAGGTATGAGGGCGTTTTTTTCAAAATGGCGTGTTTGCCTGAGCGCCGAGCAAATTCGCCTCAACAAATGCAACTGGCACCAAGATGTAAGGCGGCTTCTGCTCAAAATGGGGTCCTCGCCTTCGCACCGCGCGCCTTCGTCTTGAGACCTTGCACCCAACACAAAGACGGAGAACGGTTCTTTTTCACTCTAGCGCTGTCGAGGCTTCAACATGTGCAGCCGCTGCACGGATGGAGGGCGGTTTCCTTTTCCAGGATGGTGCTCTCGCTCGAGGCGTCCTCGACGTGCATGGCCTGAAACCTTGCGCCACAACAACACGGATGGGGCGGCGGCCCCCTTGTCCTGACGGGGATATCGCCGGACACATCGCTCAACTGCATGACCATACCTTTTCGCAGGTTCTGATCACACGCTAAAGGGATGCAAGGCCGCCCCTTTTCAAAAAACGGGGCTCTCGCCTGAATGGCACGCCTCTTGGGGGCGGGTCTTCAAGGGGGGCGCTTCTTGAATTGAAAGGAAAGGCCTGTCGGGAACCATGAGGAAGGGATCTGGGACGAGAGGGTGTATTGCAGCATCGCTGATGCATCTTGGCTTTGCTCTGGACCTCATCCTCCTCATCATCATTATCATCAGCGTCACCACCATCATCCACATCATCCTCACCATCATCCACATAATCCTCCAAGATGAGGATGAGGATGAGGATGACGATAATGACAGTGGCGATGCTGATCCGGATGATGATGATGATGGTGGCACGAAGACGATGATGTTGATGATGGTGAGTATGAGCTTGATGATGATATTATTGCTACTGCTGCTGATGATGTTGATGAACATGAGGATGCTGATAATCATCGTCATCATCATCATCATCATCCACATCGTCATCGTCAGAATCACCATCAACATCATCATCATCATCATCATCATCATCATCATCATCATCATCATCATCATCATCATCATCATCATCATCATCTTCATCATCATCATCAGCATCATCATCATCATCATCCTATTCATCATCCCATTCATCATCACCGTCGTCAGCATTAGCAACATCATCATCCGCATTATCATCCGTGTCAGCATTTTCAGCATCATCATCGCCACCATCACCCTCATCATCACCATCAGCATCACCATCACTACATATCACCATCACCATCATCATGATTAATAACCACCGTAAAAACAGCCATCATCATCAGCAGCATCATCATCATCATCAGCACCATCATCGTCAGCATCGCCATCGTCATCGGCATCGTCACAATCAGCATCATCACCACCATCATCATCACCATCACCATTACCACCACCATCGCCAACACCATCGCCATGACCATCACCAACACCATCATTGTCATCGCCATCATCATCATCATCATCATCATCATCATCATCATCATCATCATCATCATCATCATCATCAATATCGTCATTCACTCTCCTCCACCGCGCTATCCTTCTCCAGCTCCTCCTCCTCCCCTTCTGCGGATGTCCTTGTCCTTGTCCTCCCCCTGGCCGAGCCACCTACGCAGATGAAGCCAGTGTCGAGGACACCATGCCTTGGGTGAACACTCCATTTGGGCTCGGCTGTGTGGTATGGCTTCGGCCATTCCCATTCGGGGCTTGGGGTAGGACATCTGGTAGTAGCTAGATCCTCCTCAGCACCCTCACAGCCAGCCTGTAAGATATCATCTAAATCCAAATCTCGCCGACGAAGGCGACGAGCATCACACTGATAAAAACGATGCTTCTTCGCGCCTGGACTCTGTAGGCACCACTGACGATCCAGGGTGACGACTCGGCGGCCGGTGAAGAGAATCTGCTGTCGGGGAGCCGCCCGCCACTGCAGTCGCCAACCTTGCTGCCGATGAGCCTTTGCCCAGCGCGCGTACCTTCTTCAAACGATTGATGATCGGCCCGGTGCAAGGACCTGCTGGGAGTCCTTCGACTTTTCCATTGGGCCCGCCTGGGCCTTGGACCGGGGACCTCTGGGTGCTGGAATTGATCAGAAACCTGAAGGCTCGCTTGCCGAACTCCCGAAGGTTGACCATGATGCCGTCGCCCGCAACCCAAGAGTCCCAAGATACGATACCCCACCGAAGACGCATGAAGGTACAGATTACTGCTCCAGCGGGGCCCTGCACATTCTGCCACGACACGTCGCCAGGCCCCATAAAATCTCCGAAGCATGCTCTCGCAATTCTCACTGGAACCCAAGACTGTTGCAGAGCCAGAATCCAAGATATTGTCGGACCAGGGTTTGCCAGATACTCGGGATCAGCCAGGGGTTCTGGGCCAGGCAGGAACTCGAGCGCGCGTGACCTGTCTGTCGGCGGTCCGAAAAGGGCCTGGCCCATCTGGGCCCTAAGCTCTGTCACTATCTTGTCCGATGACCCTGCGACTGGCGCGCCATGCAATTCAGCAGGCAAGGCGCCAATTCCCGCAACTTTAGCAGCTCCTCTGAACGAGCTTCGCAGGCCACGGAAACGATGAACTCGCGGGC